GGTATTACGTATTGCTATTGACCGGTGAACTTTACTTACGTTTTTTAGAGACGGTTTTCAAACATGTTAGAAAAGTTAAATTTAGGTAATCGCGCATTAATAGAGTGGTTCCACATGACTCTCATTATGACACCCCACCCAAATAATAATAATAATTAGCACATATTTTATCTCTTTTATGTTTATAAATCATAACAAAATAAGAACAACATGCCAGCTATGAAATTAGTGTAGAAAGATAAGAATTGGCTATAACTCAAAGCAATTTTTGACAAAAACATATTATAGCTTTTATATCGCTGAAAAGCTTAAAATGGCGCTTTTTATGAATAAGTCATGACCAACTATGGTTTCCATTTAAAAACATACGTTTGTGTCATATGTCAAAATGACAGGTTTTAGAAAAATCGGAGAACACAAGCTCATTAGGGATGTGATTACCTACAACTTTTATCTGAATTTTTTGTCTAAAATAGATTATAATGGAATTAGGGACATTTTTAAAAATAGCCAAAATTTGTTTTTTTTTTCGAAGTATCTAGTAAGCCATGAACTTTTCTAAAATCTGAAAGGCTCATATTTATGACCCACAAACTGCAATTCTTTCCCCTGCATTTAATCGACCGTTCATCTCCAGTAGTCTTCGAGATACCCATAGAGAACATCGTAGGAAACTCACCCTGTATAACTTCATATTAAATAATACCTTTATACAGGGTGCGTCTTTAAAAGTGGCTCAAATTTCTTATAACTTTTATTTTTTCATAGATAAAAAACGATTTGGTACAGTACGTCTGTCCGTTCTTGTAGCTACGGGTATCCGTGAGAGTGGGGAAACGATATTCTCGATGTTTTCGTAAAAATTAGACGACGCGTCCCATCAATAAAAAATTCGACAAATTTGCAAGTAGCCAATAAAATGAGTGGGCGGAGCGATTTGCGGTGACGTACTCGTCAAGTCGACGTATAAAATATATTGCTGTTTATTTAAATGTTTTTTGTCCGCATTCCTTTCATAGACACAGATCCAGCAGACGAACTGTATGTTCATATATGACATAAATTAGGAATTAGGATTGATTGACGATCAATTGTTTTTGGTTTGGTTTCTGTTTCACCGGAAATAACTACAACTTCAGATACTTACAATCTGTCACTAAGGCTGTTGTACTCTTTCCCTCTCTTCATCCGAAGACAGTCTTGATTCGATTCTTCGCAGTCGCAGTAACATTTGGACGAATATTTTATTCGAGGTGTGAACTCTTTCGGACATTTACATCTGATGAAAAAAAAAATAAAATAAAAAAAATAATAATTGCCCTACTCAAGAAACTCGTAGATTTTTGTTTTCAACTGTATTTCCCTAATATACCCCTACGACTGCATACTAAATACCCTAGTATAATACCAGGAATATACCGAGTATACAGGGTATCCCAGGCTGAGCGTGTATTAGAAGTTTCTAGAGAACTATACAATATCTAGATCGGGGATTTTTTGCACATCATTGTTTCACAAGGAGATCTATCGATTAAAAATATTTTCAATATAGCGGCACTTCCGAAAAATACACGAAGTTGACAGCAACTTTTTTAGGTCAAATTGAAACCCCCTTTTTTTATTACATACCTAAATGCTTTATAAAATTTTGTGAATTTTGATATCAAACACTACCTAACATTAACCGGTTTTGGAAAAAAATTATTTAAAACTTTTGTATTTGAAAGAAAAAAACTGCCTGTCAAAAAAATTGTCTTGCCTAAACGTCAGATTGAGTGATTATCACAGTCACTATGACATGTTGCCATCTATTTCAAAATTCAATTATTGTTTGGTCGTAGCTGTCATGCAAGCGTTTTTTATTACTGTATTTTATTTCACTAGTGAAAAGGTTTTAAAGAATGTATAAGAACATGTATAATTAAAAAGTAACGAATTGAAAAACCTTTACACTAGTAAAATAAAAAATGTGTATGTTATATATGTATTATGATAATTTTTTAATCACTCAATTATTGCATGACAGTTCCGGCCAATCATACATACATTATATGACATTTGAACAACTCAATTTTTGAAATAATTCTCTTTATGTCACAGTGGCTGTGGTAATCATTAAATTTGACGTTTAGACTATACAAATTTTTTTGACAGGCAGTCTTTTTCCTATTTAGGAGTGTTTAATATCAAAATTTTACAGAGAATTTAAATATGTAATAAAATATGGAGGTACCCATTTAAAATAAGAAAGTGGTTGTCAAAATGATGTATAAAAAATCGCCGATCTAGATATTGTAGTTCTCTAGAAAATTTTAATGAACGCTCAGCCTGGGACACCCTGTATATCAGGTATATATCTACAATATCCCTCAATGAGTATATGCCTTACACCTGGCTATACAGGGTTGTTCACCGCATACGACACAGAGTATTGCAGCTAAACGATTAGATTTTTACATATTGTACGTTTTGGGTTCGTTGAAGGAGCTACAATTTAAAGATAATTTTACAAGATACAGAGTGTCCCAAATAAGTAAAAAATATTATAGTTTTATTAGTTTAAATGGAATACCCTGTATATTATTCTATTTTTAGATTCAATGATTGAAATAATGGTAAATTTAATTAAGGTTTATCATACTTAAACCTTACCGTTTTTGAAATATTTCCAATTTTATGAAATTGCAGTAAAAATTTTAAAGTTTCAATTCTCCAAGAGTATCAACATTTTTAATACTAAATAATTACTGAAGTTTATTTATTGATCGGATATTGTGTTGCGATAATAAACAAAATACTACCTTATACAGAGTGTCTAAAAATTTATATTAAATAATTACTAGCTTTAAACGGCAATAACTTGTGTAATTTAAATGTAACACCCTGTATATTTGACGAGAATCAGATTTTATTATCCATCAAATTGTATTATTCCATTTTTACTTATTTTCTTAAGAAAAAGCATTTTATTATAATTTGGACGTCATTCATCACTATATACCCATGGAATATTGACATTTTAGACTATTTTTAAAGAAGTAACAAATTTTCAAAGAGTACAAACTGTTTAAATATTTTTCGTTAAAGAGTACCAATTAATATGATCCCAGTATTCAAACTACATTATTAATTGACTGTTTACGTTGATTAATAATAATTGCCCCAAATACTAAAAAACTGAATTTTGTATGTGTATTAGATAGTGTGGTAAAAAGTAACACCTTATAAATTTTATTTCATTTTTTGACGAATGCTTATTTATAACAACAGAGATGCTCATTTTCATAACTTATTATTATATTGACTTCTGATTCGAATCCACATTTGTTCAGAATAATTTATTAATTAATACAATTCAGTTAACTAATTTTTGGGCGGAAATAATGGTGGTATATTGAATTATTGGTATACTCGTTTACAAAGATTTAAATAGTTTTCTTTTTTTAAACAAATGGGCTTGCAATATTATTATTTCTACCACCTGTACATTTTGTACATATGTTGTGCTTTAAAAAAATCTAAAATGTCAATATTCCATGGGTATAGTGATAAATAAGGACCAAATTATAAGAAAATGCATTTTCTACGAAAACTTGAAGGGTAAAAAATGGTATAATACAATTTGATAGACAATTAAATTGTGCATCTGATTCACACAAAATATATAGGATGTTCTATTTAAATTAAACATGTTATTGTCGTATAAAGCTAGTAATTATTTAATATAAATTTTTGGACACTCTGTATAAAGTAGTATAATTTTTATTATTGCAACACAATATCTGATCAATAAGTAATATTCAGTAAATATTTAGTATTAAAATCTTTGATACCCTTGGAGAAATGAAGCCTTAAATTTTTTACTGTAATTTCACAAAATTGAAAATATTTCAAAAACGGTAAGGTTTAAGTGTGTTAAACCTTAATCAAATTTACCTTTATTTTAGTCGTAGAATCTAAAAATAAAATAATATACAGGTGTTCCATTTAAAAAAATACAACTATATTTTTATTTATTTGGGACACTCTGTATCTTGTAAAATTATTTTTAAATTGTAGCTCTAATAGTCCTTCAAGGAACCCAAAACTTACGATTTGTAAAAATGTAATCGTTTAGCTACAATACTCCGTGTCGTATGTAGGTAGATTTTATTTACACCTTTTAGTGTTATTTATCCACTACCCACCACTGGCCGTCACAGACACGAGACTTACCTAATTTGTATATTTTCCGGACCGTCACTTCTGGATTTCAAATCCAATCCACTATTTCGCGTTTGGTTGAACACCTCCGCACTGCCCCCATCTGGCGTGCCAGTCCTTTTGTGCCTCTCCGTGACTGCCTCTTCCTGTTTTTCCTTGCACTCGCATTCCGTGTGGTTGTAAAACGTCAATTTTTCCACCTTGGCTTGGTCCGAACCCAGTTCCTTCACCTGAAACCAGACGAAGTTTATGGTTTTTAATGGTCGCCCCCAGACCCGACAACAAATACATCGGTTTTTTTCAAGGAATTTTGTTTAGAGTTGTTGCCGTTTGAGCGTGAAAAGTATTGGTTGGCATTTTAAAGTTTTTTATTGTGCTTTATTAGGGTTTAAATCTCTTAAAAGAAATAGGTAAACACAGGGGCGCGCTAATATACAGGGTCTCGCAGTTTGCGTGCAGAGCACATTAAATAAAACGGTTAATTTTAGAGGAACTACAAACACAAAAATATGTTGTTTTTTTTTATAAAATTCAGCCGATTTTATAGTACTTTATCTACGTCAGTGAGTTAAGAAGCTCTTAATTCACCCATTTTGAGTGAGTGAAGAGCTTCTTACCTCACGCATTTTAATTTCCGCACTCCTTGTTTAGATGACTACCAAAGAGAAAAAAATATTTTCTAAAACATTTACTTTGCACTAAATACCTACTAAATACAAATAAACTGTTCTATTGATAATAGTTATAAAAACATGAAAACTTATTTATTATAAATGTTAATGATACAGTTTGAACAATCTTTCAAGTAAATGCCTGATGATCATTTTAATGGATATCATAGTACAGTGGCGGATACAGAGGGGGGGGGCACATGGGGAAGAAATAGAGGTTGCCATTTAAAATTTTAGGGGTAGGTGCCCTGGGGGTCGAAGGGTTGAAAGTAACACGACAATAAATGCCTCAAAAATTGTCCCCCTTGATATGCAAATTGACGTATTTCGCCATTTTCATACTATTATCGGTAGAGGTAATATTAAATGCTGTTCGTTTTCAAATTGTCACCCTGTATATAATATACTAAATAGGTATATATTCTATAAAAAAAAGTCAAGTTGGTTTTCTTTACTTCAATTTTATAACGATACCTTCAACTGTTAAAAAACTATTAAAGAATATTTTTAATTTTTCAAAAACTTTAATACCCTGTATCTTGCGTAAGAGACATTTCCGACACATAGTGTGCTATATCAAAATTAATATTTCGACGTCCTCTATTATTCCCCGAAAGCATGACCGACTTACAGGAATCACCCTGTATATATGATCTAGGGATAAAACTCAAAATGGGACACTCTGTACATTTAGCAAATCATTTTCAAATTACTTAAAATATGTACATACAGATGTTACACATCTAGGTACTCCATCCTATAGATAATATTTAGAATAATATTTGTTAAAAATCAAATAGTATATTATAGCTTCATTCAGTTGTATTATTATTATTATTAAATAAATTATTATTATTATTATTATATTTATGAAACCGGAAAAAATATATTCATTAAATTTAGGACTAGAGTTTATAACAAATTTTCTGCTCTTCGAATTCTTTCATCGCTCATTTATTTTTTTCGATAAAATCACAATTTTTATGATTTACGACCCATTTAATTTCCGAATTTAAAACTCGTAAACTTTTATCGTCACTTTTAATAACCAATAAAAAGTTCCTTCCCAAAGAATTTTGCGCAAATCGTCTTAGCCGGCATGAAATTCTTCGATTAATCACAAATTTTTATCCATCAGAAATTTTTTATTACTTTTAATTATCTGTAAGGCTAAAAGGGGTCGTCTTAAAATAAGTTCGCGGAAACCGAGAGCTTCTTGGCAAGTGGAATCGCTAAATCGGCCTTAAAAGACAAAAAGTACAACAAGGGACATTATAAAAGAGCATTTCGGATACGGCTGTGGTCGTCTGGTGGAACTAAAATAGTTGCACATGGTCGAGATGGCTCAAAACTGTTATTTTAAATTTTAAGATCAGTTTTGTAATAGTCGTTGATACTGTTAAATAAATAAAACTAGATCGGGGTAGTTACACTATTTGAGCCATTGAAACCAGAGTGGTCTAAGTCAATTTTTCCTGATTTCTGATGTAGTTTTCTATATATGTCACTCAAAATTACGGCGTACGTTGATTAAATAAGGCAGTTGACCCATACAAAATTTGGATAGAATTTCTATTTAGACTCGTATTTAGATATTAAGCACATATCCAGCTGGTAAGGTGCTGGGGGAATCCCCTAGCGCCTGGCTTGGTCTAACAAGCATCTCTCCTCAACGTCTTGTCCCTGGCTGTAGTGTCGTGGCCAGGGAATTGCACCAAGACATATAACGATGCCGGACGAGGCTACCCCTGTCCGTCATACCAGGCACCCCTCTACTGACTGTGGTCATGTCTCGCGGGTAGAGGGTGTGGGGGGGGGTCCTAGCTTAACCGCCTGGACCAAAAGGAGACAACCTCACCAAAAACCTAAGTCCTAAGATGGCTGGACCAGGTCAAAGGGATGCATGGCTAGATAGAGGACTAGCCATTACTGGCCTCAACCTTGGGGCATCAGGGGGCACCCCATTGTATTTACCCCTTACTTCTACATGCGGGGCTCTGTAGAAGTGGACCGACTGTCTCTAGCGACTCGTGGGAACACCTGTGAGATCTAGTACTAAAAACACCACCGGTGAAGCTGTGGGGAAGCTCCCTAGCGACACTGGGAACACTATAAATGAAAGTTCCAAGGAACCAAATCCAAAGGAAACTACAAGAGGGGCGGCTGACACTTGCTTGGGATCATCCTCCACAAGTGGCACACAAGCTACCACCTTCTCCAGCAAGGGTCGGAAGCCTACCTCTAGACCCAATAAGCGACACAAGCTACCGTTTCGTCTACCCGGCTTGGGTCAATCAGGTGAGCTAGACTATCCTCTGAAAGTAGGTCTTAGCGGAGCGGAGGACATGCTCCAGAGGAAGCAAAAGCGAAAACACTCCTCCGAAAAGGGAAGAGTAAAGAAACCAAGAAACAACCTGACTCATCTCCATCAAAGGGCAAGAGAAGGAGCGAGGACCTCTCACCTCTTCTCCGGCAGGGAGAGAAAAAAGCCAGGATGGAAAGCCGTCCAACACCGGGAGGCAAGCAGGGACGTATCACCAGCTTTGCCGCTATTGCTGGACAAGTGAAAATGGCGGTGCTGCCAAAGGATTTACCAGAGGTTGCTCTGACCACCGACCAGCAAACGTCTCTAGAAAAGGCTATACTGGAGGAAGTAAATGGAGATCGGATAGCGACACAACGGTCTACAAAATGTGGGTCAGCTACGTTTTGTGGGGATACACTCTCGGGTGGGCATGATCCTCATAGATTGTGTATCTCAAGAATCGGCGAATTGGTTGGTGGAAATCGCATCTAAGCTTAAAAATTGGCAGGAGCCGGAACTGGTTGCAGTGAAGGGAGAAAACATCTCTAAAGGGGCGGCCATAACGGTCTTTTGCCGAGGAGCAAGGGGAAAGACACCACCTACCTGCTGAGCCTTATCCAAGGTCAGAACTTCAATGTAAGGACATCGAGTTGTCGAGTCATCAGCTCGAGGGAGGAGGGTCATGATCAGGTCCTCACAATAGGAATTGACCTCAGATCCAAGGCAGCAATAGAGAAAGAGGGATATATCCTCTATTATAGATACGGGACAACACCGGTATTAGGTCTAAGGAGAGACCAAGTTAAAGAGGTGGAGAAAGTGGACACAGATCATCCAGCCTCCATCTCACGGGTTCCTCAGCCGGAGGCAAGCTCCTCGACTGTGAAGGGCAGCACGGAGGGCCAAACTCCAATCGTGGAAGGCTGTGTACCCTCGGAGGAATAACTGTTGTCAGAGGAGGATGGGAAATACCCTTTCCCCTCTACAACAGGGGTATGATGGGTTATAGACTGTGTGATGACTCAAGGAAGGGGGGAAGAAAGATCTTTAAGGTCGCAGTGATTAACTCCCCCTCTTACTCATTCTACATTCTACATTCTACAACTGGTAGTATAGTTCAACCCTAGAAACACGCCTATGAGGTTTTTTTTCGCGAAAAAAAAATTTGAAAATTTGTTTGGATTTTTTTTTTAGTTTTTAGTTAAAAAATATAATTTCATTATAATATGGCAATATAGGTATTAGATTAAATTTACAAGAAAGAAAATGCAGAAAAGATCCAGTGGTTCTCAAAATTTTAGCAGAAAATCACTTTCCACTTTTTTTTAAATTTTTATTTTTTTAAATTTGTTTGTAAAATAACTCAGTTATTTTGGACTTAAATTTCTTTTATCGAGATCTACCACCCCTTAAAATACTTCACTTTACTTTACACTTATTTCTGTACACACACACACTGACACCCTGTATTATCTTATTAACATTTGTAAGACATAGATACATTTTTTTTAAATATATATATTTCTTTATTTACATGACGACATATTTTAGAGTTGATTTTTTTTATTTAATCAGGTAACTAAAAGTTTATTTCGTTTTGGTATGAACTGTAACATCTATGAAATATCAGAAATTAACATTTATTACGTTAAAAATTACAAAATAAACAGCTAATAAACATAAAAAATGTTTTACATTTTTATTAGCTCTAATACATTATTCCTTAGTAGTATAATAACATAGTAAGTACAATAATAAAAATTTCCACAACAAAGGATACCTTTAACTTATACCATACAGTAGGTACTTAAGAAGCACACATTTTAAAAACCACCGCTTTTATTACACCTCTTTCCGCGTATTACTTTAAACCATTAAATAAACACTTATTAAAAACACCAAACAATGGATTCCAAAGAGGCTACTCTTGCCGGGATGAGCCCACTGTGTATGCCGATGAATGAACAAAACTTCACAATAATAATTCGATGAACGTAAACAGGAAAATGCAGAATAAACATACACAGTTTCATTGAAGATGAAACAAGAGAACGTGTGTTATTCGTTGTGAAAATAAACAGCATTTTAAGTGCCATTATTTCTAAAATCCGAATTCCTTTCTAATAATTTTTGAATAAAAATAAAGAGGGTATTAATAGAATGGGTAAATATTTATAGGAAAAATATATAGAGAATAAGTACGTACTAACTATATTTTTGTGACAGATATATTTCACTTTCATTTGTAAGAAGT